TATTCCGCTGTTATCTTTTTCCACAATACTCAATCTACTATCAATGTCCTCAACTTTCTTCTCTCTTTGTTCATCTCTTTCTTCAATTTTTTGTAGTCGATCCTCATATTTCATCATCCATTTTTGAATGTTTTTGATTTTTTCCTTTGTTTTACCTGTCTTTTGTTCTATGTTTTCTGTTTGTTGTTCTATCGTCTCAATTCTCTTTTCCATATTCTCTGTTCTCTTTTCAATGGTTTCTTATCTCTTTTCAATGCTCTCTGCTCTTACTTGTAGTTTTTGTATTCCTTGCATGATTGCCTCTAATGTTACTCCCTTATCTTTTTCCTATTGGAGCATCGTCTGTATTGATCTTTGTCCTCCCACGGGTGAAGAGGAGGGAGCCAACGGTTGTTATTTTTTTACTCATCTTCCAGATTTTTTCTTTTGTGTGTTTTAATCCACCTAAAGCAAGATGAAATTGTGGTCCCATGTGACCATGGGGAGGTCAAAAAATAAGAAATAAAACACTAAACAGGGGTTAGGGGGCAACAGAAGAGCCACAAAGAGAAAAGAAAAGAAAATACAATAATATAAAAAACCAAAAGGGTAAAAATCTTTGGTCTCTTGTATGCCCTTATCCAATTGGTTCCAGTTAAAAAGGGGAAAAATAAAAAGTAAAAAAAATAAAAAGGGGAACAAAAAAATAAGAGAAGAGAACAATTCCCAAATAAAAATATAAAAATATGAAAATGCAAAATTTATAAATAGAAAAAGGAAAAAAAGAGAGAAAAAGAAAAAGAATATTTAAGTGTTCCTTTGGTCAAATCCACTTAAAACAAGCTCACAAAATGCCTCAAAATGAAAAAATTCAAAAAGGAAAAGGTAGACAGAAAGGAGTCACAGCTTCCATAACAGAGTAAGGTAAACACTGCCACTGAAGAAAAAGAAAAAAAGAAAAGGAGTTCAAAGCTTTTGTAGTCTGAAAGCCTTTCCAAGGTCACTCTGGGCTTTCCCTTAAAATTTTTATTTATTCTTTCAAGGTAGGTTTCCAGACATTGAAAGTTTCACAAGGGACACCTGTATAAACAGGTGTGTTCCTCTCACTATCAAGCCTTAGCAAGATAACCTTGAAAAAAAAACAGCTTCTCTCCAAACATTCATGCAAAAATAAAAACATTGTTTCAAATCCACTAGGTGGCAGTGATACTTGTTTCCCACTCTCAGTCTTNTGATTTCTATCAATGGAGTCTCGTGGGTTTCCTTTCCTAATTATCTAATGGAGGAGTGCTGACACTTACCCTCATTCATTTATTTGTTTGTTTGTTCATTCATTGATCCATTCATTCCTATATATGTCCCTTTCCTGTATTTTCCCTATCCAATCTTTTTTCCTCCTTTTTAATTTTGTTGTTTCAGTATCTCTCCCCTTCTTTCCCCGTTGATCCCACCGTCACTATTTTCCATTTTTGGGGGCCACTTCTCCCTTGTCTCCTTTGGGTACATAACTGTAAATCCCAGTATAATCATCTAAATTCCCGTGTTTGTGTGAAACCTCACAATACCTTGCTCCTCCTTAGACTGGAACACACTGATTGTGGGGAAATTGTCTCCGTGGATCCGGGCAGATTCCGAACTGGAGAAAGTTCGCCGGAATTCGGAAGCGGTGAGTGGCCTTGGCAAGGGAAGAATGATCAATGGTACTTTTGTAATGTAGAGATATTTTTGTTATGGGGGCAACTAGAAGCAAAGAATAACCTTTGAGAATGTGCTTTACTGGGCTAATCTTCTTCGTCTATGGGTTCAGAAACCGTTCCATGAATGCATGGAAAAGGATAGGGACACTGTTGTGGCCCACCAGCGGCAGAGCAGAGGTGGCAGAAGATTCAGACATTGAGGAGGTTGGGGAGGAACCTGGGCCAGTCCTGGAGTCTGGTGAAGACTCTGAGGAGGGCTCTGTGTCGGAGGCCGACAGTTACCAGCTGCCTTCGGAGTCAGACATCAGTGAGGCAGAAGAACAGCTGGAGCCTGTTCCCAGGGTGCATATGTGCAGAGTTGCCAGATGAAGGGAATGGCTAAAGAACAAGGGTTGACTTGGGAGTAAGGCCACAGGTGGACGATGAATGGCTCATCCCAGAGGAAATAAAAGAGGAGCGAAAGGGGAGTGGAGTTTGCAGGAGGCCAATGAAGTTCCCTTCATTGGTCCGGGACTCTCCGAGACTCCTGGCCAGGGTTTTGCAGAGATCGGCCTGGCAGCTCTCCAAGCCAGATAAGGTCTGTGACTGTAAATCCTCCCTTGAAAGACTTTTGCTGGATGCGAATGAGCAGAATTCACAGTCAGTGAATCAAAGGGGTTTTTGTCAGGACAAGGAGTTTGCTTCCTGCTCTTGGGAAGCCTCCGTCAGAACGGACACGTCGTAATCTGTTTGGAATTCATTTGGCCTAAAAAACAATTACTTGGACAGCTGTGCTAAACTGTGAATGGGAACAGGGGACTCCAAACAAAGCCACTTTTAAGACCAGTGGACTTCAACTCCCAGAATTCCATGCTGGCTGGGGTATTCTGGGAGTTGGAGGCCCATTGGTTTGAAAGTAGTCAAGTTTGGAGATCCCTGGTTTAGAGTAATTGGCGGTATCCGAGGGGACCTTGGTGATTGGACAGCCATTTGTCTGAAATAGTATAAGTGTTCCTGCCTGAGCAGGGCGTTGGACTAGAAGCCCTTATTATTTTTGAGGTGCAGGAGACAGAGAGCACGGCTCGTGCGTGGGCAGGAAAAAAGGGCACGAA